TTGATAGCATGAACACAAAGGCTCTCCACATCACACTCAACGAAAGCCTCTGCAATTGTGCACACACACACACACACATCTACACATATACATCCACATACACACGCACGCATCCGTGTCTGTATCTGCATATCTTCTCTATTTATCTCTGAATTGCCTTTTCTCCCTCACCAGGTCTCCTCCAGCGCCACAGGATAAGGGAAGCTGCATTCGTTTTCACTTATGGTTTTATTGCCTCTGAGAGCACGACGACTTACAGTTCAGTCTAATAATATATTTGTAGCATTTGTTTGTGGAGATCAATTACATATTCTTTAATAAGACACGAAGGATACTGATGATTAAGCTACATTTATGTTCATATCTTATTTTTGTAGGACACATGTAAATTGATAATCAATGTAAAAGGATTATTTGTACATGATCGCGTATGTCTGTTTGTACTTGGGAGCATAACACATTTGAACATACGACCCTATCGACTAGAAAAGTGGAACATGTCTTAGTGGACATAATTACCAAATAAATAGTATAAATACGAAGGCGAAACAAGACACATCTATTGCACATCACGGAAGTCTCTGCAACTCAGCAACTGCCACAGCTTCCTCCCGGTCTTAAACGGCTAAGCTGCGCCTCCAAGTGCAACAGTTTCCGCTGCAGCGCCTCCTTCTCGGACTGCAGCTGCGCCGCGCGACTCCTCATGCTGGCCAGTGTCTGCTGCATGGCCTGCGCCCGCTGGGAGGTCCTCTGGCGGTTGAGGAAGGCCTTGGTCGCTCGCTGCCTCTTCTTCTCCTTCTCGGGGTCGGTCTGGGGCGGCCACTCGTACGCCCTCGCCTTGCCTCGTCTGGGGAGGGCGGGGATCGTCGTCCGGGCGCAGGGGAGGGCGTGGGGCGCGAGCGAGTCCTGCTGGGGGCTGGTTGGCTCCTGCTGGAGGAGCCCCGGGGGCGCCGCCTGCCCTGGCTGGTAAGAGCCTTGAGGGTCACTCATGCAAGCCTGGAAAATGTCTTGAGAGGCATCTGTCCCTGGCTGAAACATTTCTTGAGAAATGTCTATTCCTGGCTGGAAAACGTCTTGAAAAGTGTCTTGAGAAGTGTCTGTCCCTGTCTGGAAAATATCTTGATAAATGTCTGTCCCTGTCTGGAAAATATCTTGATAAATGTCTGTCCCTGTCTGGAAAATATCTTGATAAATGTCTGTCCCTGGCTGGAAAACGTCTTGGGAACCTGCTATCAGTGTCTGGAAAATATCTTGAGAGGCATCAGTCCCTGGCTGAAACCTTTCTTGAGGAAAGTCTATCCCAGACTGGAAAATATCTTGAGAAAGATCTGTCTCTGGCTGGAAAAGGTCTTGGGAAGCGCCGATCCCTGTCTGGAAAAGGTCTTGGGAAGCGCCGATCCCTGTCTGGAAAAGGTCTTGGAAAAGTCCTGTCCCTGGATGAAACATTTTTGAGAAGGTCCATTCCTGGCTGGAAAACGTCTTGGGAAGCGCCGATCCCTGGATCCCCTGGCTGGAGAACGTCCTGAGAGGGATCTATCCCTGGCTGGAAAGGGATCTATCCCTGGCTGGAGAACGTCTCCAGCGGGAGGGAAAAGGCCGTCGTTCGGAAGGCTTTTCAGCGATACGGGAACGGCACTGGCTTCGGCGAAGGGACCGGGAAGCCCAACGCCGCTCCAGCCAGGCGCCGAGCCCTCTCCGATCTCCGAAAGGCTTAGCTCGAGCAGACTCAGGTCGAATTCGTTGAGGATGTCGCTGCTCGGCTCGCCGCCGCTGCCCAAGGGCGCGCTGTTAGGCTCCTGGGGAGAGTACATCCTGGCGGAGGGCAGCGACTCAGACGAGGAGGATCCACGGGACGAGGAGGACGAGCGCCGTCTGAGGCTGGGCGGCGCAGGCGAGGCTTAAGTACGCCAAGGGCGCGGAGGAGCGAAGGGAAATTCCTCGTCGCGAACGGCCCGCGGGACACGTTCGCTTCGGCACAGGATCCTCCCCGGGCAGTCGGGCAGCAGCCGGATCGAGTCCCGCCGTCGCTGTGGCCGGCGGGTCGGACGCGGCCGCGCTGGGTGCGGCGACGGCCTCGTCTCGCCCTCGCCTCCTTCGCTCTCGCTTTTCTCCTTTCTCCTCTCCTCCTCGATCTCGCTTCCTCCTCGTTGCTTTCTCTTCTCGTTTCCTCTCTCTTCTCTCCTCCTTCGTTCTCCTTCTCGTTCTTTCGTTGTCCTCTTTCTCTCTCCCTCTCCTCCTTCGTTGTGCTTTCTCTTCTTCGTTAGGATTCCTCTTTCTCTCTCTCTCCTTCTTCTTCTCCTTCGTTGTCTTTCTCTTCTTCGTTGGGATTCCTCTTTCTCTCTCCCTCTCCTCCTTCGTTGTGCTTTTTCTCCTTCGTTGTCTTTTCTTCTTCGTTGGATTCTTCTCTTCTCTCTCCTCTCCCCTTCGTTCTTGTTGGGATTCCTCTTTCTCTCTCCCAGTTCTCTGTTGCTTTCTCTTCTTCGTTGGATTCCTCTTTCTCTTCCCTCCCCTTCCGTTCTGCTTTCTCTTCTTCGTTTATTCTCTTTCTCTCTCTCCCTCTCCTCTTCGTTCTGCTTTCTTTCATTCTCTCTCTCTCCTCTCCTTATTCTCTTTCTCTCTCCCTCTCGTTCTTTCTCTTCTTCGTTGATTCTTCTTCTTTCTCTCTCCCTCTTCCTTCGTTGTGCTTTTCTTCTTCGTTGGGATTCCTCTTTCTCTCTCCCTCTCCTCCTTCGTTGTGCTTTCTCTTCTTCGTTGGGATTCTTCTCTTTCTCTCTCCCGTTCTGCTTTCTCTTTCGTTGGGATTTTCTCTTTCTCTCTCCCTCTCTTCGTTCTTTCTCTTCTTCGAGATTCATTCGACATTCTTCAATCGACATCCTCATTTTTTATTTCTTATTTCTGCTTCTTCTTTGTCTTTTTTTACCCTTCCTGTTTCTTTCTGCTTCTTTTATTTTTGATCCTTCTACTTCTCTTTCTTTCTTTTCTTCTTCTTCTACAGCTTCTTTTGTTTGCTGTTCTTTGCACTTTTTCTCTTTCTTCATCTCCTTGTTCGCTAATCAGACGTATGTCAATTCCCATTTAGTTTTCAGCGTAAATATTGTGGATTTGCTGCATCATAGTCTTATATTTTATTTTTTCATTTGTCTATTTCATCTATTTATCTATCTATCTGTTACTCTCCTCCGGTGTGAGTGCTGGTATACGTATTAGTGGAAGATTCTGTGAATATATGGTTATTAATACACTTGACGTGACACTCGTTGACGGTATGTTCATACGTATATCTCTTTCTTTCTCTATCTCTTGATAGCGCAGTTTGTTTTTCTTTTTTTTTTCTTTTTTTTTGCGCATTTGCATGATTCTTACGTAATTCCTTAGCTATATAAGTTTTTTTTTTAAGCTTTTTTTGTATTGCTTAAAGCTGGGTTTTCTTCTTTCTTTCTCACAGAAAATGATTATACGTATCTTTCGCAAATCTTCTACCACTCTGTATGTCCATTTACTTAAGAATACGCTTATGGGATTTTTTAAAAATTAATTTTCATCTATTATTATTTTTTTTATTTTTTTATTTTTTTTCTTTTTGTTTACACAGAACATTCGTACGTTGCCGTCTCCGTTTTTCCCATTATATTATATTATTATTATTATTATTATTATTATTTATTATTACTTTTTTTTACACAGAACAGTCGTACGTTGCCGTCTCCGTTTTTCCCCCAAAGGCAATTCCCGAAAAGGATTCCGTGTTAACACAGACGTAGGGAATATGCCTTTTCAGTCCCTAAACTATAGTCTAAATCCGTTTCCTTGCCGTTTCGTCTTCTGTACGATATTCAGTTATCCGACAAACGTAAATATATCTAATTTATTATTGTTGTTGGTTTTGCACTATATCAGTTTTGTTTTTCTTTCTGTTGATTTTTTTTTTTTTTTTTTTTTTTTGCAAAACCCATTAGCAATTCATTTATTTATGTTCTTTTTTCGAATATTTTATAATACTACTACTCTATTTTATAATAATGATAATAATGGTGATGATGATGGTAATGATAATAATTGCATTATTAGTAGTAATGATTATAATAATGATGATAATAAAAATAATGATAATAGTGATGATAACAATAACGATAATAATAATGACAGTAATTATAGTAATGACAACAATAATAATGAGAGTATTAGTAATATTACTAATAGTAATATTAGTAATGATAATAAAATGATATTGATGATCATTGTGATGATGATAACAACCATGATAGTATTGATAAAGATGATCATGATAATGATGATAAAATTTAATAATAAGAGAAAAAGAAAAAATAACTTTAATGATATCTACAAAAAATAATGATATTCATGAATTAGTGATAATGATAATGAATAATGATAATGAACAACAATGATAATAATAATGATTCTGCTACTACTTCTGCTACTTATGATGAACAGTAATAAACGCAGAAACAGTAATAAGAACAACAACAACAATGATAATAAAATACCAATGTTAATGATTATAATATTAAAAAATATATAAATAATGGCAATGGCAATAATGATAATGATAATAGTCATAACAATTATAACAATAATAATCATAATAATGATAATGATAAAAACTATTGAAAATGATGACAATGATAAAGATAATTATAACAACAAACACAATAATAATGATAATAATAATGCCAATAATGACAATGGTTATCATCATCATTATATCTATTACTAGCCAGACAGTATAAACTTGAAGAACAATAAAACAACACTGCAAAATATGGTTTACCAGCAGAAATAAAATCCCATAGTTGACTTTTGTGAACTGTGTGCATATATTATAGAGTTTAGTTATAAAATTTTACACAACAAGGCGTATTCATATGTGTATGAACACAGAAAAAAAAACGCTTAAGCATTGCATGTATATATGAGGGGGGGGGGGACTAACATGTATACGTATGATTCTGTTCATACGAAAACACATAATTGGGTACATGAACGTAGAGGGTCGTTCAAGAATTGTGGATGAGATGGATAAGTGTCTTCATAACATCAAAAGTAAGAAAGAAAGAAAGAAGGATAGATAGATAGATAGCTACATACACCATAAAAAATAAACCTTAAATACCCAGAGAATTCTGCTAAAAAAGGAAAAAAAGTCAGACTGCCAAAAATACAGAACGAAATTGATGTGACACGTATATACACACAATACGAATACGAGTAATAAATGGATAAATATAGTAATGTATAGACTACGAAAACGAGAAGTGGATGAATCAATTAATGGCGACTACAACACACTCAGTAGAGAAAGCATTTTAATAATCATTAAGTTATCAGTATTATAAGTATTAGTATGAGTAATTATAATATCAATATAATCATAAGTATTAGTCATTATTAGTAAGCATTAGTAACTGGTATTATAAGTAACTATGATATGAATTTAATTATAAGTATTAGTATTTATTAGTAATCTTATTCACACAGAAACCAAAAATGACTGGGCCAAAAGACATGAATAAGAGAGTGAAGAAAGGGAGAGAGGAAGAGAGAGCAGAAAAATAGAAGAAAGAACAAGCTGAAGAAACAGAAAGAAAACGGAGGAAAAAAGCAGGAAAAAAACTGAAATAAAATGAGAGAAAGGAAAAAGAAACGAAAATAATAAGCAACAAAAAGAAGAAAGAAAAAGAAGGAAGAGGAGAAGCAGAAAGCAAGATGAAAGTAAAAGAAGAAGCTAAAAGAAACAGGAAAGGTAAAAAGAAAAGGGCAAAGAAGAAGAAAAAAAGGGAGAAAGAAAAGGAAGAAGGAGAAGGAGAAGAGGGAGAGAGAAGGAGAAGAATCCCAACGAAGAAGAGAAAGCAGAGAACGAAGGAGAAGAAGGGAGAGAGAAAGAGAAGAATCCCACGAAGAAGAGAAAAGCAGAACGAAGGAGAAGAAGGAGAGAGAAAGAGAAGAATGAAGAAGGGAAAGCAGAACGAAGGAAAAGAAGGAGAGAGAAAGAGAAGAATCCTCACGACGAAGATTTTTTTTTTTCTTCTTTCTTTTTTTTTTTTTTTTGGCGATTCTGTCTTTCCATCTCCTCTATGGCCTTGCTATCCTCATTCTGTAATGCATACAGACAATATATTGCAGAAGGGAAGAGAGTATAGGGGGAGAAGGGGAAGAAGGGATAGAGGGAGAGAGGAAGGGAAGAGGGAAGAAGGGAGAGGGAAGGGAAGAAGGGATAGGGTTAAGAGAGGGGAGAGAGGAGAAAGGAAAGGGCATAGGGAGAGAAAGGGAGGGAGGAGGAGAGAGGAAGGGAAGAGGGAGAGAAAGGGAGAGAGGAGGAAGGGAAGAAGGGATAGGGTTAGAGAGGGAGAGGGAGAAGGGAAAAGGCGCATAGGGAGAGAAAGGGAGGGAGGAGGAAGGGAAGAAGGGATAGTTAGAGAGGGAGGGAAGGAGGAAGGAGGGCATAGGGAGAGAAAGGGAGGGAGGAGGTAGGCATCCTTCATTATAGATACAGAAATTTCCTACATATAAATGTGTGTGTGTGTGCGTATGTAAGTATTTGTGTATGTGTGCATGTTTGTGTAGTCGTGTGCACGCGTACATAAGCTCGTAAGTGCATGTGCAATCTTTTGCAATGTTGTTTTATTGTTCTTCGAGTCAATACTGTTTGGATAGTAATAGATATAAAGCAATGGTATTAATTACTGTTATTATTAACAATTTCATGATCATCTTTAGTTATTAACTTTGTTATTGTTATCATTTTTATTATCATCATCAATATTGTTTTCATCATTATCAGAATCATTATTATTATCTATCTATTTATATTGTTATGCTATCGTTATTATTATCATTTTATTATTATTATTTGCCATTTATTTATATCTTTATTGTTATCAATTTTCATAATCTATGATTATCAATGTAGTTTATATACTATGAATTAACATTATTGGTATGATTGATTGTATGATCATTGGTGGATCTCATTTGTTCGACATTGGTCGTATGAGTTTTAAAGTAAAACAAGACACTCAAGTAAGCGTGATAACCATATTAGTGCCGCTAGATGTGATCGGTTTCTAATCTTTTATTAAAAACTCGGCTTGTATATTATCATCAATTCTATAGAGGTAGGTTAGGAAATACCATCGTATCAAGATCCAATTGTCGTTCATTATTCATCGATCTAAAATTGATTATCATTATCTTTTGTAGATATAATTAATTTTAGTTTTGTTTTCTATTATTCCTTTTCTTCTCTTAATTTTGGTTGATCGTTATTAATCCTGTTGTTATCATTAATTACACATTATCATCCAATATTCATTGGCTATTGCTAATATCATTTTATTCGTTTACTATACTCATTATTAATTATATTATTGTTATTGTTATTGAATTATTTATATCGTTTTCCTAATTATTTATCATCTATTATAAATATTAATAACTTACTAATGATATAAATTATTATCGTCAACCATCATCATCATG